TATTGATCACTGATGATTGATAAATGTGTACCACACACAAATCAATTTATATCACAACATTTCAATACATTTTCAGCTCTCGTAAGTAATAAAACTGGTTGAGAATATCACTCTGTTCGGAGTTTTTAGCCGCCATGACTTCTAAGGTTAAGATGGGAAGGTTGCACTGACGATCATCAAATGGCCTGATTATGGCATTTATTGAATGGAATTACCTGATAATACACACTAGACGTAAAACTCACAGTTACTGTTTGAATATTTTATGTTTATTTTAATTGTTTAACAACGTTTTCACAAGTAAATCATGGACCCAACTTTAGGGACACATTTCTTTTCTATGTTCCTAACTTTGGCCCATGAAATTCATTTGACAGCATATAGCAATAAGAGTAACGTCAACAATGTGGTTTGCATTTGGATGATAAGGAACGAACAGGAAGGGAGATTTTTTCTGCCAAATCTGTATAATGAACATCACAATGTTTTGATTTAGATATTCTGCGGTCGAAAGACGATAAGCGAAATTTTTAATTTTTAATTTTTAACTTGAGTGATTTAATGTAGTTTTCGTAAAATTTTCTCTAAGAAATGTTTTGAGGAATGAAGAGTATTAAGTTAACAGTGATAGTGATAAAAAAAAATACATAAGAAAACGTTACCAAGAGCGTTTTTTTTGAGAATCAAACAGGATAGGACGAAGTTGCATCCATAAATAGACCCAATTTGGGGACAATAGACCGATATTACATACATTTCCCTGGTGAGTTTTTGTCTTAAAAAAAGTAAGTTTTTCAACTTTTTGCGGTTCCTGATAGCAAACGACATGATAAGCATATCTAAGCATACCATTTAGCAGTAGAATATCGTTTGCAGGTAAATTAATTGATGAGTTATGATTAAAAACGTAATCTATGGCTGCATATTAGACCGAGGTTAGGGACGTATACCCTATTTGACTTTATCACTTCTTAACCTTTTTCCGGTTGCCTTCTTGGATCTGGTCATGGTCGGGTCTTCCTTAATTAAACGTTGAGGACTGCTACAGATTTGGCAGCTTTGAGTGCTGCTTTCTTCCATTGTTTCCTTAGTATGTTGATGATACCGATGATTAGCTGGATTGACACTATGACGAGAATAAGTGAGAGCTTCCAGTTGTGGTCTTCTAGGTACCCCGTGTGGACTTCTTGATTCTTGATTGTGGTGACGTCCTGGTCACCGTTTTGGGTGGTATCTTTGCTGTCTGCGTTTCCCATTGAATGAGTGCTGGATGTATGGTTGTACTGTAGTTGAACCGCGGATGATTTGAATATGACTGTTGCTTGATTGCCATTTGTCGGCTTTATAAGTATTGCATTTTGCTGACAGGTCTCTTTGGTGGTGAATTTTGTTGCGTTCTTTTTGTGATGAATCAGTATAGGTTCGATGTTGATTGTGGTTGTTTATATTTGCGTATGGATTTTGCTATCCTTCAAGAACTTGATTGTTTTTTCTATGGAATTTGCATCGTCTCCTAGTATTTCATGTAAAGAGGAGCCCAGATGATTGGTTTTTCTTTCTGCCTTGTAGCGGGGACAATCGATTAATATATGCTGAACGGTAATTGGTATTCCACAAGATAGACATATTTCCGGGTCTTCATTTCTTGCAAGGTGTCCATGAGTTAATTTGGTATGTCCAATTCTTAGCCTTGTTATGATTCGGCTTGCATGATTGATGTGATTTGATTGATTCTTCACGCTTAGCTTCAAATATGTTCCAGTTTGCTTCGTGCATTTTCCACCTGGCTGGTCTTGATCTTTTGGAAGATATGGTGGTACCAATTAGAATTGGAAAGTGGTCACTACCGTTTTGGTCCTCGTGGATTAACCAGTTAATTCTGTTAGCAATTTCAGCTGAGCATAGAGTAAGGTCAATACATGTCGATGCGTTTGTCGAATGTATGAAAGTTGGGCTGTAGTTTCAGTAGCATAAGCTCTTGTTCCTGTAGCATAAGCTCATTCAGTAGCATAAGCTCTTGTTCCTGTAGCATAAGCTCATTCAGTAGCATAAGCTCTTGTTCCTGTATTATTTCGGCGATTATTTTTCCTTTGCAATCATCTCTATTTGATCCCCATAGACTATGGTGAGCGTTGAAGTCTCCCGATATAATAAATGGCTTGTAGATAAGGTTAATTATGTTGTCAAGTTCTTTTTTGTTAACTATCTGATTAGGTGACAGATATATGCTGCAGAGTGTCATTATTCGAGGTAGGTTGATTTTCATAGCTATTGCTTCAAGACTTGTGTTAAGTTGAATTTTTGAGTATTTTATTCCCTGTTTGATTGCAATAGCAACTCCACCTTGTCCTGAAGGACGGTGGCAGAATAAGGTATCGTAACCAGGAATTGAGTGTTCGTTTGACCTGTTTGTTCTTGTTTCTTGTAGACTGATTATAGATGGCTTGTACTCAGTAATCAATATCCGTAATTCTGCGTATTGTTTTCTGACGCCATTACAATTCCATTGAATAATTTCGGTTGATTTTCGGTTTGCTGTTGAATCCATTCTAGTTGTTTTGATGACGATTATTGGGTTTAGGGTTGCATCTCATCATCGCCACCCTCTTGAGAGCTGACATCCGATTCTTAACGTACTCAACCGTTTCACATTTTTTCATCATATCGTTACCTTTCTTTTTCCTTGGGGGAGATTCGATGGGATTGCCTTGGCTCCTGGTGTGTTTTCCTGGTGGTTTGTATCCGTAGAGTTTCAGTGTGTTCTCCAGTTTGGAATAATTCACTTTGAGAATGTCAAGCTCCTTTTCTGTCGTTTTTCTTTTTTGTTTTTCTTCTCTGTAGGCATTAACTGCCTGTTCAAACTGGTTTTGTATTTCCATGAGCTTATTTTCCATCTCCTTCATTTTTTGTTCGAACTGTTTCTGCAGATCTAACCTTAGTGCTTCCACGTAGGATTTCTTTTCTTCATTTAATTTTTTGATCTTCTCATCAAATTGTTCTTTAGGTGGAACCGTACCCTTGACAGTGAGGACAAAAATTCCAGTGGGAGTTTTGTTCTCATCACGTCCTTTCATAATCTGCCGAACTTCAGTTATTCCTGTTTTCGATAGGTCTTCGAGTAAGTCTTGGTCACTGTCAAACTTTATGTCCTGACAAAAAACCGCTACTTTGCACGAGTTAAGAGTTTTGTGCTCGTACACTTTGGTGGAAATTCCTTGAGCCAGCTTATCGATTTCAGCCAGGTTTCTGGCCTGGCTTTCACTTAACGTGGACGAGAATTTTCCCGTCTTTCGTTTTTTTTTGCGCTTGCTACTTCCCCGCAGTAAGCTTTAATTGTTTTATCGACGAGAATCGGAGAGACTCCGTGGAAGGATTTACCCTCCTCTCCCCTTTCCATAACCAAAATCTTTCCACCACCTCCACCAGACGTTCATCATTCATCTGGTAAATTTAAACCACTGCGTAAGGTGAACAAATTGCACACCGGGTTTATTGACACTCACGATTTGATGACTTATCACTTTGGCCGTTCGGCCGCGCGTGTAATGTGACACCACTCGAGGGTATTTGACTGAACACAAGCGAATTAAAAACAGCGACTGTACTGAACCGTGGTCAAGCTAATACTGACAAGTATTGGTGCTAAATGGCTTTTATTGTACTTTTAATAAGGATTTCAAATGGTTCTCAATGCCTTCGTCATATAACCTTTTTACAGCTAGTCATTCTTGAAATGTCTCGATAATGCACTCTAAAGAGAACCTTCTTCAGGGTGGGCCAACTAGACAGATTCTAGCCTTAATGAGGTTTTGGCATGAGTAAAGGCAAAGCTATCTTGACCAGGGTTTTATCAATGTTGTTTTACAGAAGCCTTGTAGTACTTCATGAAACGTTAAATGTTACTTGGGCCTAGTCCTGAATACTTCAGATTAAGGGAACAGGATATTTCAGTAATCAAATGAACTCTTCTTAGTCCTTGTTATTTTTTATACCTTGTTGATAGTGACAAGACTCGGCTTTGTCCACCGAGGATGATCTTGCAACAAGAAAAAAGTAGTTAGTTAGTTTTCGTCTATGTGATTCATAATATTATATTTGCTAATAGTTTGAAAATCTGGCTTTATTAGACCTTTAAAATAAATCTTAACCCATTAAATTAAATGTTGCTCTGGTTTCGAAAACATTTAAAACAGAGGTAAAAAAGGTATGTTAAACGCCGAAAAGTAATTTTACCCCGCGGGTGCATCTTACCCCAGTTAACGGTACATATGCCATAGATTTTACAAAACCTGTTTTACCCTTATTTGCATTTTGCTTTTCTTTTCAGCGTGTTGTTCAAATGGTAACTTCGTACCCGGTTACTCCGTCACGAACATAACAGATAAAATAATGTTAGCACTTCTTTTCCGTTACTGACCACATAGCGCAATAACCAGGTCTCCACAATAATAATAAACAAAAGTGACCTTCCCAAAAATGAAATATTTCAAAAATAACTTATTGATCACGCATACTGTTGAAACCTACTGACTTTACTCTGAGATACGACAGGTTGTTCTAGATAACAATCGTTTCCCATCGCGATCACCTTCGCTCAACAGTCAGTAATACCAAAAACAACAACAACAACAACAACAACAGCAACGCAATACATGGCGAGGTTTAACCGCGGCAGACCCATCGTCCTTGTATTTCGTTTTCCTCAACTGGTTAACTTGACGTACCATTGCCATTGGATGTTTGTTTACATCATGTGCCAACCAACCAATCGTTACAAAACTTTTCCCATGACAGCAAGTTTGTGTGTGTCTATTTTTCCGAATGAAAAATCACGCACACTCGGCTTCAAAACGTTTCCCGCAATGGAGGCGCCGGTTTGCTCACAAATTTTATGTGTGGGTGGTAATTTACACAAGAAGGAAAACACAATTTACGGTCAAATTAGAGAGCAAATGGAATTCACGGAGGCATAAAAAATAGTAATTAAAAAATTCACTTACACTACTATAGTTACTGCGGTATGACGACATCGCCACAGAATCCCCGTTTCCGCTGATATGCTCCTTCCTTGGTTAGAAATTCGAAGACTGGTTCAGATTGATACTTTTCACTTTGCTTCTTTTAATCATGCAAAAAAAAGTTGTCGGCTGCACACTTGTGGATTTAAATTTTCAACTTGCACAATTTTTTTTTTCACTTAGCACTTGGGTGGATTTTATCTTTTTCTTCCTTTTATGCCGAGCTCTTGAATGTGTTACAACTATTTTCTCACAAACTACACACCACTTGTTGCATCACCACCATCTTTTTTCTCCATTTTCACTACTCTCCAGACTAATTTTAGTCGACAATAGTGGTTTCAATCGGTTGAAGCTGGTCTGCTATGAAGAAGATTGATATTTTGAAACCCTACGAAACGAATAGATCTACGAAATGCGATTCAGGGTGAGCCGGTTGATATTTTATCAATTGAGAAGTGCTCTTCCTGTTTTACCGAAGAAAACTGACACCGGTTGAGAAAATTCACTCACGCACATTCACAACAACCTCTCGTGCTTGACGTGGAATCACGATTTGAAGAAGAATCACCACGCGCTCACAAAACTCACCATTCGCTTGCTCTCCGTCTTCTGAATTAGACGTCCACGCTTATTTTTAGCCTTCTATATGCCCACTTTTCCCGCAAAACTCACCACGCTGTCATTCGCATATGGGAAATTTTTCTCGCAATCACCGCACTTTATTGGAAGAAATTTTCAAAAACGTTGATCTGATTCCAGTCGACACAATTGAGAACTACCATGTAGAGGTAGATGGTATAGAGGTACACCCAAAGATGGCAGTGGAGCCGCTTGGTAAATAGTAAATTATTGATCTTCTGATAGCGCACACCGTAAACCAGTTTCTTCACCAACGTGCCACAAAGATAAGCGACCGTGACCAGGAGCAGAATTCGGCGCAAGTGTATCAAGATTATTGCCATTACTACTAGAGCAGCGAGCTCTAGAAAACTCGAGTTCGTACGGTCGTGGCTCGGCAGAAATGTCGTATTTTCGTAACAATCGATCGAAAACAAACGAAAGAAAAAAAAAAGCGCAGGAATCAATCACATTTTCACGAACCGAAGCACTTTGCTACTATAAGGAAATCCACGCGGAACTACGGCAGCTCATGCAAAGAAAATCCACCGTTCGGATCGAAGGAAAGTACTAAGACTGAGCGAATGATGCTCAGCGAGGGATCCAAATGGGCCGAAAACTGCGATTTGCTGAAAAGTGTGGTGCGTTTGCGCATTTCGCTGTCCGCTGTGTGTGTTTCAAAGCACTCATATGATCTCTAGGAAGGTACGATGAACAGAGTTGATGCAGTTTGTGTCGTAAGCTGAATGAATGACAGATCGATGTCCCATCGGCATGTTTGGGATGTCTTGCAAGCGGAAAAACATTGTGTGTTGAAATAGAAACAAGAGAACGTGCCGCCGGGTGAACGTTTCTCGGCTGATGGGAAGGCAAACATGGCATTTAGATTAATGTGATTTTGGTCTGCAGACATGTATTCGCAAGGAAAGGGAAATGACTGTCTTCTTTGATTGTTATGTTCCTCGTTATCTACATAAATCGACACCATAAATGTTCAAACGACTAATTCCTTTGAATATGTGAAACGACACAAACCTTTGCCTGTAGATCTCAAAGCAGAAAAAACCGATACTCTTCGGCTATTTAACTGGATGTTTGAACAGCTTAGAAATTTGGCAAAATGTAATGAAATGGCTAATCTACTCAATTCTGATTTTAGGCATTTTTACAGAAATTTAAATACCATCATGAATTATTTATTTTTGATTGGTATTTTAACCGTTCCAGTTCAATTCTTTTTTTTCTGATGCTTTCATTAAGGAACTGTTAGAACTCGGCTATAAAAGTACAAAAATGTAGAATTTTTTTATGAACTAGCAAGGAAGTCCAAATTATGCTGGAGATTTAAACTTCATACTTTCCGGATCAATAGAGACGTAGGGTAAAAGCGTGCCAAGTGGTAAGTCATTATGGGGAAATGTATGACAAACACAAAGAAAATAATCAATTGCTTGTCAAAAATTCAAATATTGCTCATACCTGAGATTTACATTTCTCAGAGAATTTTCAAATTATCATGCTAAGATTTTTTAAAGATTATAAAACATTTTATTATGTAAACATTTAATTTCCCTTGTTATGTTCTTTCACTCATTGAACCTATTAGATCCTGAGTGGACTTATCTTCAGTAACAAAATAAATTTAAAAAAATCAGAGGCTTGAATTGTTTTTTTTTTTTTGGTTCTGGAATATTCATATTTTTCACAAATTATAAATTTGAACATTTTCTTATCATTCTGGGTTTAAACATAGTTATACTTGGAGAACTTTTCTACCTACTTTTCAAGATCACAGATTTGAAAAACATCAAGACATAATTTTCAAGCCTCATGAATTTGGATGATAATTTGTAAGAAACTCATACCAAGGGAGTTCTGTGAGGAAAACATCACGTGCAATCTGCTTTTAAGGTAGTTTTGAAGAACTCCAGATCATATGTAAAACGTGAATACCAAGGTAGTTCTGAGTAGAATGCCAAGTAAACCCTGAATACAATTTGAAAGAAATTTTAATTAAAATTCATATGAATTTCTTAAGTACATTCCTAAAAAAATATGATGAGGACTCCAAGGAAATTCAAAGAAGGCTTCCAAAGGATTTCTGATGATGATTTTAAGAAGTGTTCGAAAGAAATAAAATCCGGAGCACAATTCCAAAAGAATTTTTTGAGAATAATTTGAGACTACTCTCTTTTTAGGCATTACAATTAAATCTGAACTTTCCAGGAAAACTTCTAAGAAGCTCGGAAAAGAATTCCAGAAGAGTTCTGACTAGAATGCCATATAATTTTTAATAAGACATCTATGGAATTTGTTACTTCACTGCAAGCGAATTCTCAGGAAACTTTCAAAATGAGTAGAATTTTAAAGGAAGGAGTAAATAAGGAGCAACTAAATGTAATTACGAGGGAAATGTCGTGAGAATTTTAATTCGATCATGATTCCAAATAATTTCAATGGAATTGCAATCATGTTCCGGTGATAATTTTTTGACGTAGACTACGTCTTGCGGGAAGGTACTGGGGGTAAATCGAAAATCAAAAATAGTGACCGTCACGAAAAAGTGTAAGGTTTTGAACGCTTTTAACTTTGTCATTTATGGATGAAATTTAAATCCAAATACACCAATCGATACGAAATAACTCTGCTACAATAAATGCTTTTCCAAATTTTTCTAAAAAACTGTTGAAAATTTGCAAATGAAGAATCATGATTTTATCACTGTTATCATGAAATAAACGTTCTCCCCAAACCCAGTCGTCATAATCAAGTACCATTTAGTTGCACATCAGCCTTGTAAGTAAAATTAGGGACCATCCATATATGAAGTAGATTTTTGTTTGACCAATTGACCGCCCTTCCCCTTAAAGCCCTTTAGTTAAAGTATGACTGTCACCACAAAACTGAAAACTGTTTTGTTATACCTAATACATGGCCGGTTACAACTTCTGAAACCCCTCTCCCCCTCAACTACTACGTTATGAATTAAAGTTTCCTAAGCATTGGGCAACAGTGAAAATCAGCAGCACACACACAAAGCGGGTTGAACATTTATGCGAAATTTCGATATTTATGGTGAATATCTCGCGACCAGAACATTTTAGCTTGAAATACCTCCATTTAATAATCGGTACATCTTTTATCTATTGATGAATAGAAAAAAACGAAAATATTGTTTTTTTTTTAAAGATTTCATGCGTTTTGTGAATGTTCATCCATTATTTTGCATAAGAAAACGGTGTGTTTCTGTGGTGGGAAAAAACGATTTCCCTACACAGCTTATAGATTTCTGTACCAAGCACTGAAATTATCAGACGGTACCTCTATTTATGGTGGTATGGAGGAAACGTCGAGTTTTTTTCAGTGCTAAGTACTGAAATTCGATTGTGAGCGTTCAAAAGGGCCTACTTGCAATGATCGATTTTCTCTTTACATTGCTACAGCTAAGCGGAACAATTCAACGTATTCACACAGCTTAACGTAGTCTACGTCAACCATACGGTCGTGTCTTGTACACAATCCCACCCTTTTTGAGTAAAGGAGAGTTGCAAGGGAATTATGAGGAGCATTTCAAAGAATATATGGGAGTCCTGAGAAAAACTAAAAAGGCATTCCTAGATAATACAAAGTTAATGCTAAGGAGAACTCCAAGTGGAATTTCTGGAGAAAACTCCAGGGAATTCCTAACTAATACTGCATAAATTATTAATAATTTGAAGAGCATTGCAGATTGAATTCAAATGGCGCTCTGCAGATGATTTTCAAGAGTATTATGGATTATAAGACGGGATGGGACTTCAAAATCGTCATCGGTGACATGTACGCTCAGGTAGGATGGGAGGCAATATACAGACAGGTAATCGGCCCAAACAGCCTGCGCGATGCGATGCGTGAACTTTGCAGCCTCCCGTGGTATTTTCCCCCAGCAGTTGAGGGCAGTCCACATAACCGTTTAAAAGATTCGCTACAAATAAGGCTTGTTGCATTTTTCTTCTGTGTTCCAATTTGTCCAGGTTCAATAGCATGCATCGGTCTGCATAAGGTGGTAAGTTCATTGGATTGCGCCACGGCAGGCTGCGCAAAGCCAATTTAAAAAAAAAAATCCGAAAACCTTCTATTCCGAGATTCCACACTAGCTCATATGGAGACCAGACCACTGATGCATTCTCAAGTATGGGCCGAACTAAAGAGCAATATAGTACCTTCAAGCAGTGAGGGTCTTTGAAATCTCGTGCAATCTTCGAAATAAATCCCAGTTGACGATTCACCTTGGAGATAATCGAGGAATAGTGAAGATTGAAGGTCAACTTTGGGTCCAACAGAACACCAAGATCAGTCATACGTTCTACTCTGCGAAGCGTTACATTGTCAATTCAATAGTCGTAAAGGATTGAACTCTTAGAGCGGTATAACGTCATCACCTCACACTGTGGAACGCTGATGATGAGCTTATTGCGACGGCACCAATCCACAAACAAATCTAGCAGAGCTTGAAGACGATCACAATCCTCAATCGAGTGAACTATGACGTATAGCTTAAGATCATCTGCTTAAACGAGCTTGCATTTAACTCCCAACAAAGCTGCTACATCGTTGAAGAATAACGTAAACAAAAGTGGACTCAGGTTATTTCCCTGAAGTACTCCAGAAGTGCTGGTAAACGTAGAAGGGACACAAGATCCTAGTCGTACTCGAAGAGTTCGTCCAGTCAAGTAGGAATGTAACCACGACCTAAGTTGCTCAGACGCTCCTAGTCGGGAAAGCTTACATAATAAAACCTTCTGGTATTTTGTTGAATGCGGCTTTCAGATCAGTATATATGACGTCGACTTGTCTTCCATCGCGGTGATGCATGTACTGGTGAAATCCAAAAGGTTAGTACCTATCGATCTACCGGGAATAAATCCATGCTGGTCAGTTGAAATATAATTCTTCGAGCGATTCAGGACCAATTCGCTCAAGATCTTCTCAAACAGTTTGGACGCTGCCGAATTTTCCGTGCTCAAAGGATGCATTAAATATGCCTGCTAAAGGTTCTGCTAAGGCAGCTGAGCAACGGCAGAACATCACTGCTGGAATTCCACCTGGACCAGGAGAGAGTGAGGTTTTCAGTCTCCTTGATGCTGAAAGTACCATATCCCGCGTTACTTAGAATGTGCTCAGTTCCACTAAGTCACTAGGCGTATCAGAGGCAGCAGATTCAGCTTCAACGCCACTTGTCATATTTTTATCGAAGACAGATGCAAAGTGTTTAGCAAACATCTCACACGCTTCGCTAAGAGAAGTGGACCCTTTCCCATCGAGAAGCATGTTGGACGGTATACTCGAATCTTTCCTTTTGCTGTTGACAAAGCTCCAAAAATTTCGGGGGTTATGCCGCAAATTCCACTGGACTCTGCGGACGTGTGATTTGTACAAGGCACTGTTAAGTTTAATGTAAGCGATACTGGCACGCTTGAAGTCACGCTTCGTATCAGCTGTTATGTGACGACGTAATTTTGTCTGAACTGCGTTACGCTCACGCTTCAGCACTCTAAGCTGAGGAGTACTCCAAGTT